CCACCGCACTCCGTCGACCCTCGCTCACGTCCCCCTCCAGCAAACGGTAGCCGCCCGCCGACCCGTCACTCACCCGTCCACCTGGCTGCATCAGATCTAAATGAGTGTCTGATCGCGCTACCTGTAAGCTACCGCTTGGCACCCGTCCTGTACATTCAGCCGGTGTTGATGCTCAACTCGGTTGCTCTGCCCTTCTTGCTGCTCTTCGTGGCGCTGCTAGACGGGGTTAGGGCGCCAGTGTGCACGTAAGCCGTGCCCCACACACCAGCCAAGCAGCAGAACCCGTTCCCAGCGAGCGCCATGTGGCTCAGGTGGCGGAATCCGCCAGCCCGAAGCTGCTGCTCAATGCGGCGGACCAGCAGTAGCAGCACCCCATCGTTTCAACTAAGGCTCCTGGATCCCCTTGTATCGATCTACGGAGCCAGAAGCGACAAGAAGAGCCCCCCGATGAAGGTCACGAGCAGTCACTGGTCACGAGTCACTACGCACTCGTGTCCGATGGTCGAGGAGCCAAAGTCTTGGCCGGCAAGACCCACTGCATAATGTAGAATCCATCCTTGCTTGTTATATTCCCTCCATCAGCTGTCATGAACCGCGCGTTGACGGCTATCGCGGTGGCCGTAGCACGATGTCGGCCTGACTCGGCGTTCAGGCTGTATCAGACAATACAAGATGGACGGGACAAATACTTTCAGGATTCAGAGACCCTCGAGCCCGCCGTGTTTGTCCAGCTGATGGAGGCGGTGGCACGCTGCGGGCACGCCAGCACCAGCAGCAGCAGCGGCAGCAGCAGCAGCAGTGGAGACTCCTCTCCCTACATGCTTGCGACAGTAGAGGTACGCACTCAAGGGACTTGATACCACTGACCCTGCACCAGGCCGCACCAGCACAAGGCCTGCGCTAGTGCGCGTTGTGCTTGTGCGGTCAGGGCCCCAAGCAAGCAGATCGCGCCCCCTCAAGACGCCTCCCTGCCGCCGCCGACACGCCTCGTGGCTTGCCGCACGGACTCATGTATTCGCAGGCCAACGTAGCCACGCTGCTGCAGATCGTCGCGTCCGACAGCGACGTGCGGGCAAGATTCGAGCCGCTGGGAACTGCAGAATGCGCGGCCGCCGCCGCCGCAGCCTTTGTGCGCGCGGCCGAGGCAGAGGCGGAGGCGACCGCCGCCGCCGCCGCCGGCGGGCCAGGCGCCGCCTGCGACGCAGCCGTGCGCAGGCGCGTGCACGCCCTCGCCGGCTTGCTGATGTGCGTCTGCTGCGTCCCAGGCGGCGACGCGCAGGTCATCGCGACCGCGGCCGCCGTCGTGCACACCCCCGGCGAGGTCGAGGCGCTGCTGCGCGCGGGGTTGGTTGCCGCCGCGCTGCAGAGCCTGGACGATCGCGTCAGCCCTTTGAAGTGCCTCGTGGTCGTCGCCTCGGGCATAAAGCGCGCCGACGGCCACCAGGGCGACGCGGAGCGCGCGGCAGTGGCGGCCTGGGTGCGCGTCGCGACAGAGTCGGCGGGCCTCGCGGCCGACGCGCTGTGCGAGAGCCTCGCGGAGGCCGGCCCGCGCGCTGAGCTGGCGGTGCAGCTCGCGCTGCACCTGACGACGCGCCTGCGCTCCTTCGAGCCCGTCGCCCGGGCCGTCGCCGCCGCGGTCGCGGCCCGCGCGGCGCGCTTCTTTCCGCTGCTCGCCGCGGCCGCGCGGCGGCCGGGCGCGGCGCTGGGGCTGCAGGAGGACTTGTGGGAGGCGCTGCTCGGGGGCGTGCAGGATCGCGACCAAGCGATGGCCGCCGCGTGCTGCCCCGAAACCGTGGGCGCGCTGCTTTCGGTCCTTGCGTCGGCGCGCGCCGCGCAGCCACGGTCGGCCCCATCCGGGCTCGACCTGTTGGCAGCGGCGCACAAGGCGAGCGCACTGGGCCTGCAGGGGGTCGCGGCGGAGTGGCTTGCGCAGATGGTAGTTTTAGAGCACAAAATCGCCCCCTTGAGGCGCAGCGTCCTTGCGACGGCGCCCGGCGCGGCGGCGGCGCTGGTCGGCGGCGCGCGTGCAGCGCTGGATGCGGCGGCGGCTGCGGCGGCGGTAGCAGAGGGCCGTGCTCCCAGCCAGGGCTCCAAGCTGGCCGCGAATGTGTTGTGGACGATGGCCGCGGTGGGCGTTCGCGAGGTGGGCGTCGAGGCAAGTTTGCGGCCATCAGGCGACGGCGGCGGCAGCAGCGGCAGCAGCAGCGGCGGCACCGGCAGCGACAGTAGCAACTTCTTCAGCAGCAGCAGCAGCAGCAGCGGCAGCGGCAGCAGCAGCAGCAACAGCCGCGAGAGCAGCGGCCGTGGCAGCCACGCCCACGATGACGGCTCCAGCAGCAACTGGATGTGGCTTGAGGCATTGCAGCGCTTCAGCGCTGTGCCGCTTGCGGTACGTGCGCTGGAGATGCCGCAGCTCACCCTGAGTCAGAAGACCGACGCCGCATTTTTGCTCGCAGCTCTGGTGTATGGGCAGCGGCGGCGTCAGCAGGAGCAGGGACAGGAGCAAGAGCGTGGGGCAGGGGGTGCCAGCGAACGTAATGGCTCTACGGGCACCTGCCTGGCCGACGGTGCCGACGCGGCGGCGCTCAGAGTGCGGGTGTGGGCAGTGCTTGCTGAAGCTGTGCCTAAGGGCTACGGCCTGACAGAGGTGCAGTGGCTCTGCGGTTTTAGCCATACCTTCAGGGGCGACCTGGCGGCCGCACCTGGCGCTTTGGCGGCGGTTGCGGCGGTTCTAATCGACCCACAAACAAGCCAAAGCGATGCGGCGCTGGCGCTGAAATTGATTGACGAGCTTGAGGTGTGGGCGGCGTGGATGTGGCGTCTTGACAGCCGTGGCAACAGCGACGGCAGCAGAAGCGGCGGCGGCAGCGGCAGCGGCAGCGGCAGCGGCAGCGGCAGCGGCAGCGGCAGCAGCAGCGGTGACCATGCAGGCCGCAATACGATTGGTGGATCCAAGGGACAGCAGAGCGAGCGCATGAACGCGAGGGAGATTCAAGAAGGGGTGCAAGAGGAATGGTCGCATGAGGCTGCAGTGTGCAAGGCGAAGCTGGCGTTGGAGGGCTTCGTGCAACGGGCATTGCTGCGCGCGATGTCGGGGGACACAACGGCGAAGCAGGCAGCAGGCGGAGCGCTTGCTGCGCTGGGGGTTCTGCACGGCAAACCAGTGCAGCTAACCCCGCAGCAGGTTGACAACCAGCAGCAGCAGCAACCATGGGCACAGCAGTGGCTGCCGCTGCCGCAGCCAGCAAAACAGCCCGAGGAGGAGCAGCAGCAGGCGCGGCAAGAAGAAAGGCAGCCGCCTGCAACTGCCGCGCCCTCCGCGGGCGACGCAAGCGAGGAGTCACCCGGCACACACCAGCGTGGCATCAGGCAGCACGCTTCCACATGCGCTGCGTGCGGCAACCAGGAGGCCGTCGGCGGCGTGCGCCTGCACCTCTGCCGCGGCTGCCGCGCAGCGTGGTTCTGCTCTGACGCGTGCTACAAGGGTTTTTGGCCCACCCACAAGGCCGCATGCCGCCAGGAGCAGGCGCGGAGGGCGGCACATGCACCGCCTTCGGCTGAGGCGTAGCTGGCTGTGCAGCATCCGCGTGTGTACAAGCATGTCATGCAAAACTGCTGCTTTGCTTGACAGCAGGGTGACAGCCGGGCAGTTGTGACGGCCTTGATTGGTCAGGAGCTGGACGCCAGCTGTCCTAGCCACCCCAACCGCACCACGCGGCACTCTGCTCCCGTGCTGAGTTTTACCCAACCCCGGGAATGCCGGCAGCCCTGAGAACATGCGACGCATTTCTTTCAATTCACGTGCCAGAGAGACAACATCACAACGCAAGCGGCCTTGTCACATACATCCACACATCAAAACCAAAAACCCGGCAGGATTCGTGAGCCTTCAGTTTGCACTGCATACTGTACAGCAGCTCAAGCACCTATAGCTCAGCGTGTTGCTTCGCTTACCCATGTCAGGGTCAATCCCTTGTAAAATAAAGCTCCACATCAGTCCACCTTGTGCTACTTCTTGTGCTTAGTAGATGGGGTGTGCGGGCAGGTGCTGCTGCTGCACGGCCAGCAGGGGGGGTTTTGGCGTCATGGGGGCGGTGGTGGCTGCAGGAACTGTCTGGCCGATGCGGCCGCAGTCGCCCTGTCGCGGGGGCGCAAGCGCAACGCTGGCCACCAGAGAGCAAGCTGCGGCACAAACATGCGCCACTTGCAGTACGTGGGATGTCTAACCGTTATCTACCCAGCCTGCCACAGATCTGTGTCACAAGACACACATTCGCTGACTGGAAGGGCTGGTGAACAGCGCATCTGCGCAGCTGGCCGCAGCACTCATGGATGGCCGAAGAACCCGGCAGCTCCCCCTGCACACACACCTCAAAGGAGTGCAAACAGGTGTCTGCTCGCGCTACAGTACCTGCGAACAACCGCCTCGCAGGCCATCCTTTCCTTTCTGTTCAGCTGCCTGTCATGGTCGATGCGGTGCCTTTGCCTGGGCTGCTGCTCTTCGCGGCGTGATTTGGGCGCTCTGGCGTGCACGTGCCATGCGCCGCACCACAGCGAGCAGCAGCATCC